AATAAATAAATAAATAAATAAATAAATAAATAAATAAATAAATAAATAATGTGGACACCTTGGGAGGAATCTGAGATTAGCATAAGCAGATAGTGGTATTTCTCCTATTTTCCTAGCCCACTTTTTCACTAGCTTCCAAAGCTAGTGGCAGCATATATGATATGCAAGGCTTTCACAGGTTTTATACACAGTTGTCCTGTCACTTTTTGTACCATAGTCAAAGTTTAGTATCTTCAGTGCACAGTGGTGAGGAATTCCACAAGTCAGTAGCATGCTTTATGAAGAAGTTCCCGGTTCTGATACACCCAGAAGGCACTAGTTCCACTTAGAGGTTCTTTTGAGTTGAAAGAATCTGCAAATAAATGGTCTCTATTCACCTCAGCGTCACTCAGAATTGTATTGATCTCTGTCATATCCATCTTTATCCATCCCTTTTGCAGAACGCAGAGCACAATTAGTCATTCCTTACATGTAAACTGTTGCATCCCATCACCTATGTTGTTCTCTAAGCACTTTTCAGTTGTTTACAGAGCATAGATGATACGCTTGCATAGAGAGGGCAATGAACCAGAACTGCAATTCATGTTCAAGTTACAGCTACACTATAAGATTGAACAACATCTCAGTTTTGTTCTCTCTTTTCCATTTGGTATGCTTAAAACTCCACCAGTTATTCTGACATCTTCACTCTTGTAGACAAATATGGTCTTTATTATTTCAGTTTTTCTCCTTGGTAGGAATGTGTGTCCAGAAATGTTTTAGGTGTTCATCCTTAAAGCTGGCACTTTGTCCAAGACCTATAAGACTCCAAGGACCTGCAGAACTACTGCTACCCTCTGTGAGCCATAGCATTCCATCCTGCTCTGGCCTGTTGCCCAAAGGCCTTGCTTTCTCCATGCCAGGCTGCTCTCTGGCTGTGGGCACTCCCCAGGCATTGACAGCTCCTGAATCCCAATTTTGCTTACCATTTTTATATAGTTGCTCCTCATGAACTCTGATTTTCTCTTCAGAATCCCTTCCCCTAAGCAGCTCTGTCTTTTGCTGCTTCAAGCAGGATTAAATTCTGCTTGGTCAGAGTTTGCTGAGGGAGATGCAGGTTTCCCTCAGCTCCCAGGAGGCAGGTATTTATCCTAAGGAGAGGATTTTTCAGACTACTCTTTGCAGAGGAAGTCTCGTACCAGCTGCCTGCAAGCCTGAACAGTGTTACAGCATGGCTGCCCCTTGCCTGCTGCCTGTACCACGCATGGTTAGGGCTCAGGGTGCAGGCCCAGGGACACCATGTCAGAGCCTGAGGAATGCATCCTAGTGGTGGCTTAGGGCTGTCAGACTCAGCTGTATAAATTGATGGGGGGGAGATCAGCACCTGAGCTAGCCCCTTGCCACTGTTTTCTCTTTCTCTTGACAGAGCAGTGGTGATGAGATTGCTCCCAGAGGTGGAACAAAGGGAGCCAAAGGTGGAACAAAGAATAATGTCCTGAAAACCCACCTGAAGGCACTTCTCTTTGGAAAAGAATTGAACAACTCACCCCGTCCCTCAGCTCACTGGCTGACTGGGCAGATGCTGAGGAGGCCTTGCAACTTCCAGCAGCAGGCTCCTCACCTTGTGATGTTTGTCCCTCAGCTTTGCTGTACGGACAAGCTCTGGATGCTGTGTGCAGCTTTGGTCACTGTCTCCTAGCACACTAAGTGGTAAACCTGAACCTTCAGCATCCCCAAGCAGACCAGCTTCTTCATTCTGGTCCAGAATTTGCCTTCTCATAGTTTTCCCCAGGACCAATCCTACCTCCCCTCCATCATGTCTCCACAGCCCGTAGCACCAGATGCCTGTTTCTGCTTCCCAGTTCACTCTCTCCTTCCGTCCTCCTCTGTTTGGTCCCCAAAGCATGAAGGTTTGTCTTCTGTGGTAATCTCTTCCACAGAATCACAGAACCATAGAAAATCCCAAGTTTGAAGGGATCCACAAGGATCACTGAGCCCAAATTCTGGCTCCACACAGCACCACCCAAACCTCAAACCCTATGTCTGAGAGTGGTGTTCAAACACTCCTTGAACTCTGACAGCTTGGGGCCATGCCCATTGCCCTGGGCAGTTTGTTCCAGGGCCCCACTGCCCTCTGCTCCCAGTGCAGCTCCATGCCATTCCCTTGGACCATGTTGTTGTCACCAGAGAGAACTCATCCTCAAGCTTTTCCTGGCTGGAACAGCACTGTCTCTCTGTTGTGCAGCCCATCTTTTCACAGACCTTTGCCCGTCTGAAATCACCATCCATTTGCCTTCCTTGTAGCCATCCTTGTGGACTTCTGCTTAGACATGCACAGTAAAGACAGACATTTTTTCTCTGTTCCCTCCATTCCTGCAATCCTTGCCCAAATGAAACTGGCTGCATGCACGTCCCCCAGCATTCCTTGGGCCCACAGATTCTTCTGTATCTCTTCTGTTTGTCGTTTATTTATTTATTTATTTATTTATTAACTTGGTCTCTTCCTTTCCTGGATGTATTTTTTTCTCAAATACGGCACTAGAGAGCCATTTCCTAGGAGTCTTCTTTGCCCTCTGCTAACGTGCATGACAAGATGCAGGGCTTTCAGAATTGACAGGAAGATCAAAGGGCAGGGGCATGATCTCAAGGATGGATAAAAAGGGCTAAGTATAGAGAAGGTGCAGCTCAGGTTCAGATCTTCACCTGAATCTTTAAATCCCTCTGAGGGAACAATCTAAATGATGTTGGGAATTGTTCTCAGCCTCAGGACAAGGAGCCACAGATGAGCAGTAATAATAGCCCTAGTTTCACCTAGCACCTCCACCCATCACATTCCACTGAAATTTGTTCCGAGCAAGTGATGAAGTCCTCACTGCAGCACTGCTGTATCCTCAGAGGACCATGGTAGGTGTGCGGAAGAACAGCTTGTCATGTAAATTTAGGGCAGGAAATGGGGGAACTGAAACTGTGAAGATGAAGAGAACATGGAATGGAGCTTGGAGCCTGGCCAAGGCACAGTACTGCCCTGAGCAGGACCTTAGGGATGCACATTTCTTACAGATCTGCAGATAAGCGCACGGAAGCTGACAAGATTGGTGTTAAATGGAAAGGTTTCCAAATGATGCAATCCCAGTGCTTTCTGGAAGTAATGGCTCTTTCAGATCAATGCTACGCAGTAGAGGAAACCAAATTGTTATGCTCCTCTGAGAAACCATTTTTACCACTGTCACCTTTGTGCTACAACAGAGCAGGAGAGGACCCATGACACCAGCACTGCTCCATAGCGCCGTGCCTCTAGTGAGCCACACACACCTGGAGAGCACTGCAATGCAAACAGCCTGTGCTCAGTCAGACCACCTCAGCCCCTCTTCCGCTCTCTGCGTTGGTCACGCTCATCCAGTTGACAGTTTTTAGACTTGGAAAGCAGCTTTCCTCTCTCTGCTCTCTTTCACTGTGCTTTCCCCTTCTGCCTTTTCTGGTGAGCTGGCTGGAGCCCCCTGCTGCATTACTTTTGTTGGTGGACTGCCAGACTCATTCTGAGCCCCTGGGCACCTTCCCTGCCTTTTGCTGCCAAACCGTGACTTGTCAGGGCAGTAGCCATGTACCTTGCACCATGTCAGGGCAGCATTCCATCCTACACTCCCAGGCACAGTCCTGCTGAGCCACCTGCACCACGTGCTTGTGGGAATGGGGTGAGCAACAGGTGGGAGAAAAGGGAATTGGACCCTCAAATTTTCTCACCTCAGGGTGAACTGCCCTGCACTGGGCAGGGAGTGGTCTCTCTGTGGGATGCTGAATGAGGGCTGCAAATTGAAAGGGGAAAGATGCTGGAAGGAAGGTTGAATATTAATAGGTAGCATCCCTGGGTCTCCGCATAATCCCCTGGCTGGCCTTGCATGCTCGCCCTGGTGACCCTGGGCTCCTTGCAGAGCCGGATACAGAGATGATCCCCCTCTCCTTTGATAGAGATCAAAAGCCAGGGTAAAATTACCCTGCTCTGTTCCTCTCTTTCTGTGGGCTGCCCTCCATCAAAAAAAAAACTGACTGCAAAGAAGTGTGCAGGAACACACCGGTAGCATAGAGTTGCATAGGGTGGTGGGCACCAGCTCCCTCAGGGGAGGCACTGCCCTCCTGCACCAGTCTGGAAGCCAGTGGGATTTAGCTCTCACGGTGAGAACAAGTGACCTCATCCCTGTTCAAAGCCCCTCATCACTGTAAAGGCACCTCAGCACCATCGCCAACTTCTCCACCGTCTCTTTCCTCCCTCTTCCTCAGATACCTGCACACAGGATCAGCACCTGTGCAAAGATCCCAGTGCACGCCACAGCATCAGACCAGGAAACCCAGCGTCCCAAGTGTCAGCTTCACCGCAGTGACATGGGGAGCAACAAAGCAGCATCCTTACCAGGATCTGTAGTGTAGGCTGGGTCGCTTTCCCTAGCTGGGAATCTCACAGCCTGCCTCCCAGCTGAGGATGGCTTTCCTCCAGCCAGAAGGTCCTCGTCCCCTCGTGGTGCCCAATCGGTCCTGTCGTCCACCCTCGCTCCTTCTCAGCTCCTCAACCTCTCCCAGG